TAGAATGCTCTATTGTTTAATAGTTTAAATAATTCAATAAGGCCAAAAGTAAAGGTCAAAAGTACATGACCTATATGGTAAATAGTTTTTGGATAAGATTTCAAATATCCGACCTCACTACGGCCCAACCTAATGGGTATTCGTTTATGGATCTGTATGACAACTGTAACATGTCTCTTCGTTTTCCTCTTGTCCAAAAACTATTACAGAGAGTGGATGTCTCGAGAATGTTCATTAATCCATAAACTTCTATATACAGTCACAACGGTTCAGAAGTATATAAATGGTGTAAACTAACAGAATCCCTCTGGAAGTTGTAGAGACGTTGAAAACTAAGCGTAATCCTAGGTGCTGAAACCGCGAAGGTATGTACTTTTGTAACTTCACATCATCTTAGCCTAATGGTTTGTCATCTTTTGTTCCAACGATTGTAGTTTGTTAAGTAGATTTTTATACAAGAGTCTCTGTTTGAAAACACTATATTTTGAAGTAGCTGTATCATATGTTCTGATTCAGAAGATTAATGGGTACCGGACAACAGAGGAGGCGGATTCAAGAATCCCAATGTAATGCTTACCACACAACTTTACTGGATCTACCAGATGAATTACTAGAGAAGGTCATGGGGTTTAGTTGCAACACCGTTGAAGACATTGGCAGGCTCTCAGTTGTCTGTAAGCGTTTCGCAAAGGGCACTAGAGGCATTACATTCCTTGAATCCATTGACCCAATCAACCTAGAATTGCCTTTTGAAGGGATGATGGAGTACTTTGATCTCTTCGACAGATTGTATGCGGTCCGAAATCCAGGAACTTTGTTCATCAAGGGGATGCAGGACTATTTCACTCATCATAACAATGAAGGTATTGAACTTATCAAAGAAGCTGGAGATAAAGGATACAAATTTGCTGTTTACACTTATGGCATGTTCATGAAGTGTGTACGTCAAGATCCAATTGGTGACCAATATTTTAGGCAACTGTCGAAACGCGAAATTAGGAAGATCATTGGGAAGGTCATCTATAAGGCGGAACAGTCGTATCCAAGAAAGCAACCAGAAGAAATGTACACGCGTAAGCATGAGACAAACAAACAGTATGTCACCCTATGGAGTTGCAAATGCGGCGTGTGCAACGGTAAAATGGATTGGCACCAAGAAGAAATGAAAGGACCTAAAATGTGGAACTCTTGTTTTTGGGCACAAGAGCAGCAGAAAATCTTCACCTACATTGGGTGGGCTGTTAGAGGACCTATTTTTGATGGGATGAATACCTTTGGATGTACTACTAAGTTATGTTTTTGATGTTTGAAAGACTACTTTTAATTTGATTTGTCTTTTATGTATTATATACTTTAATTTTGATTTGGGATTATAACTACATTATATACTATTGCTCCCATATATTTGTTTGGTATTCACCCACCTTATAGGATTATTAGTACTAACCTATTGTGAATAATCATGCACATACGTTGACATGTGATGGTGAAGTCAACCATTTTAGTACAACCATTATTTTGGTCTTAATACTTCCTTTATATTATTAATACTATTGTTTTATTCATATGGAAAATTGAAGGGACCATAGTTGTGGAATTCTTGTTTCTTGGCACCGAATTCTTCATCTCTATTAGGTTGGCTGTTAAGAGACCTTTCTTTATGATTTGTTTGTACTGAGTTGAGGACTAGGTTTGGATTTTCAATGTGAGAGTTTTGGATGTACTACATTCATATTGTCAAGAGTACTAAGTTTTGATTTTGATGTTTGGAAGATTTAAGATAATTTGGTTTGCCATTTATGTATGAAGTACTTTAAATTTATTTTGGGGTTATAACTACGTACTATACTATTACTACCATTTATTTGATTCTTATTCACCCACGATATAGGATAATTGGTATTATCTTATTGTCAATACCCATGTGATGGTGAAGGCAACCATTTTAATACAAACATTATTTTGGTCTTAATACTTCCTTTATATTGTTAATACAATTGTTTTATCCATATGACAAATTGAAGGGATCATATTTGTGCAACTCTTGTTTCTTGTCACCGAAATTCTTCATCTACATTCGGTAGCCAGTGAGGGGATCTTGTTTCTGTATCTTCATCTACATTTGGATTTGCTTTATGATTTACAACTTTTGTATTGGTAAGACTGCTAAGTTTTGGTGCAAAAGTTTGTAAGAGTAATCTTATATTTGTAATACCTCTAAAAAGGTAAATGTTTTCAACTTAAGTAGTGTTAATTCCGTAATTGGATAGTTTGTTAGCCTATCTATGTAAAAAAATTACAAAGCATACTAGTATTGCATATATAGTTGATTATCAACTTAATTAAGAGAAACATGTTCTTATATTTGGACAAATAGGCAATAATATAATAGTAAAACACTACGTAACCTTTATCAACAATCCATTTGGATAACTGTTTCGACATAAGTTATTCTTACAAAACAAAAAAGCATAATTAGGTAGTTAACATATCTAACATGATTGTATGTTTATCAAAAAGGGAATTAAGTTATAATAAAACAACACCATGATTGTATGTTTACCATAATCTTTCTTAGACTGCTAGAGTTTGCGGACGGAATACATTTAAGGGGAACCTGATGGGGATAGGCACTCGTTCACGTACAAAGGAGCGATAAGTTCTTGAAAAATGTCAATTGCATAAGACTTTCGAAATGCATCGACATCCTTGTTTTTGAAAGTATCGAGCCCCTCTACCAATTCTCCGTTAGCGTGAAGCTCCAAAAACTTGATTGAGACCGGACCGCAATCACCACCTCGTTTGTTTTGATAAAGACCATTTAGACGTTTAAAACGGAACGCCCGACAGCCGTGCATCTTTGTAACATCATTCGGATATTGTTTGTTTAGGATATGGTAGGAGGGTAGTCACTGGTTCCATGAACTGAGTGACACTGGGTTGGTCGTTTAATGAAGGAAATGAGTCTAGAATCTCAACAAACCAACCTGGTAGATTAATAACCAAGCCAACCCAGTGAGCGTCGTTTCAATTCATCGGGGCATATATCGTGTCGACATCGTTGAACAACCTTTTTCCATTAAGATGGATGTATTTTGAAAGCGGTTCGTCCCAGCGGTGCTTGGATTTGTCTTTAGAAGCTTTGAAAGCTCAGTATTTGCCTTGTAGATGGCTAATGAGCCAAGGGATCGCAAAACAGACTCGATTGGTTGTGAGGATAGCTTTGTGACGACTTCCAAAGAACCTCATAAGTACGTCCATATGCTGCAAAAGTGGATATAAAAAAGTAAATAACATGGTAACTAAAGTCTGCCAAACGAGTTAACCAATGAAAACCTGGACGATAAACAGTCCATACAATTGAGTTAACCCATTGTTTCGGGGTTGCTAGTTTTACGAGGAAGTCGTGAAATCAGACGATGTTAGTTTAGAGAAGCTTACCGTTGTCGATTAGCAAGCAAGGTTTTGTGAAAGAACTTGTATTCCTTTTGATCCACTTTTGGGAGAAGCGGTTTGATTGTATTTTGTGGTTTGTTAAGGAATAATAAGGTTAGTTCTTTCTCAGGTGATGAAAGGCTTTGTGGTTTCCTTTCAGAGCATTCAGAAGAATCACTAAGATCTTGAATGTCTTGGTCATCAGGTGGTGAAGATTGAGTTGTTGTACTCGCTTTGCCTGCCGTAGTTTTTATTCTGCTTGCCTGTATAAATGGACAGTTATATGACGGACATAATTAGTATTAGTATTCAACTGAAATGTCTGAATAAGGTATGATTGAGAAAGGTATGATTGAGAAAGGTCTAAAGAGGACATCGTGAGCTGGCAATATGGTAGGGTGGAGTGGACGTAGAGCATCGTTGTTTGGGATTGAGAAAACAAAATTCTCATCGAGGCAACTTGAAATCGGGGGTACTCCGAAATTAGGAAGAGTAGACATTAAAATGTGTTCATTGTTGGAAGGAGAAATTGGACCTCCAGAGTTTGCAGAGGAGTTGGGCATGTTAACGAGATAGCGATGAGCTGAATAATAGTCATCATGGACGATGGAATGGATTGTTAGTGTAGCTGTGTCTCTACCAGCATTGAGGTTTTGATGATTCGTTTGTGTTGGATCGAATTCAACATGCTTCTGAAATATATGTAATGGGGAAGCGTAATTCTGTTAAGTTAGAGTAAGTGAGAAAGAAATATAATAGACAGCAGGACCCAACTAGTACGTTGGAGTTGCTGATGATGCCGTTATACATAAGGCCACCAGCATCCCACAAGTCGCTGATTAAAGTAGATTGTACCTAGACCATGTTTCCAAGGAAGGGTGTTTGTACCTGAAGTTTGAAAAAGGAATGTAAAAGTTAATATCAAAGTAGTATAAGAGCGTATCATTTTAAATATTTTTGGTTAAGGAGTAAAACTTTACATTAGAGGTCGTGTTAGGTTTTTCTGATGTGATAAGGCCATGTTCTGATACAAAGAAAACGGTCTGCGAATAGCATGAAACTGGAAGAGTGAATGACGTCTGCAGACTGCTTTTACGCTTGGATTTGTTTGTAAGAAAGATACCTGTGGATCGATCTCATCAACATCCATTAGATTATCCCATTCTGTATGGTATGGATAAGTTGGAACGTCTTCGTGCGACACTGAACGGTACTGGTGAACAAGGTTAAGGCCCGGATGGAATGCAGCGGACTCCTGTATAATCATGTTATATGTTTCGTAAAAGAAAGAGCAATTTAGCGATAACATAAGTTTTTGAAGGCAAAATGGATATAGCTATTGACGATAAAAGTGGATATGTCAAATGTAAATTGAGACCAAAACTTTATATCCATTTGGACAAGGCAATAATACTGCCCGGAAAATTGTAATCCCAAGTGTCTAGATTAGATATAAGATTTAAACTTTTTGGACCTGGTTTAAAGTCCGCACAGTCGGTTCAAACAGCTCAGCTTGTGAACTGTTGGCTGGCACATCTTTTTCAGTTTTAGACGTTTCACACCCCTTAGATTGCTGGCGCGCCCTTTTCCTTCTGAGCCTTGACAAACATAGTCCCATCCTTGAAGCCTGAGTGGTTGCGAAACTGGTTTTTGGCTTCTAGTTTCTGGTCACGGGCCGTCAGTGTCTCAACCTGCTTGGAAAGTATGTTGACCTGGGAATGCAAGTCACGCGGCAGAGGCTTGAGATAGTCATGGATTTGCTTCTGTTTACGAGTAGACTTTTTCTTTGGTGTGACTTGCCTTGGGCGAAGTGAATATGGGCATGGGGAAGACGGCGTCTTTGTTCTCCTATTGAGGATGTGTTTCTGGTGTTCCCTTTTTGGGACTGTTGGGTTATGTGTTGTCAATTGTTCTGCTGAATCTCCCCCGTGCCAATTCGACCTTTGGAAAGCATGACCCTGTTTGACAAGAAGCTCAAGGTGGTCGACTTTTTTGTCCCTAACTTCATCATCCCAATCTCCCCAACCCTCGGTATCAGGCTGATCTACCGCTATAAGCAGGTGGACAACGAGCTGTTTGAAGAAATAATAAATACATGACAAAGTCTTATAATTGGTGTTAAGAGGAGAGTAAGAGAGAACTGACCGCGTCTGAGAATTCTATTTCTATAACGTCTGAATGAGATAGAGCATTCCCTTTTGAGAATGTTACAGTAGTCCATTCCAGCAATGTTGGATGGTCAGAGTCCTGTAGTAACTTAGATGGTAGTAAAGGACATGCACGGAAGACAACAAGTTGCAGTGCTAATGGGAAACCTTGCAGCCTAAAAGTAGCTTGGCGCATTTGTTGACGGAATAGCTCAACTGAAGCCTCATTTATAGTGGAACCCTTCTTGGCAGGACGCATACAGCAGATGGTCCGGTAAAAAGATTCTCGACCTCACAGGAATCTTAAAAAAGCATCTAAATCTTCCAGCATCCGGACGTAGTTCCAAGAAGGTTTGTGAACTTGGGAGTTAGCGATGAGCACACCGTCGACAATAATAAGCAAAGTGAGTCGAATTTACCTACCCGTAGGCATATTTGGCTCTTTACGGAGAGCTCCGCGATGTCAGCCAATGTATTTTTGGGATCATCACCAATTAGATCCCTCCAGTAATCACCAGGATTTTTGGGGGTAGGGGGTTGGTAATCCGGGTCGTATTTTGGCGGGTACTCACCACAAGGCAAACTCGTGACTGTGCTGAATTCTTTGAGTCCGAAATGAAATGGTTGACCACCGAAAACTATCCACAATTCGTACTTTTTTTTAGTAATGAGTTGACGGGTTAGAAGTGCGTGGATGAGTTTGCAAGAAATTGGACACCTATGCGCCGGAAGGTCGAATAAAGGACCAAAACAAGAGGCTCTAATGAATTCAAACTCAGGAGTTCTCTTTAGCGTGTGATGAAGATGAGTAAGCAAGTCCGGTCTAGAGTAAACATTGATACGGTTAATCGGGTTCCGGTCAGTGGCAAACAGACAGGTGGGTAGTCCTAAATCCGGCTCCATTGCGATAACTAAATAAAAAAGGGTAGAGAAATTACAACTTATCTTCAAGGACACCGGATCGAAACAACTCGAAAACTCCGTAAAACTGAAGTCAAAAGTACTTCGATTAAGTTGTTAATTTTTAATTATAGAGAATTAGAGCAGAAAAAATTATTACATAAGGAATTCCACAAAATCAATTATCAAGAACTAGGGTTCATGGATGGCGAGTAGTACAGTAAGATTCACGCCTCGGAAAAAAAAACATTGGCGTAGGAAGAGATAAAGAGAGTAGAGTGTGTACCTAGCGAGGAGGAGATAAAGATGGCGGTCCGGAGGGCGGAGTCAAGATGGCGGCATTCTGGGGATGACGGAGGCGTAAGAACGGAAGTTATCCAGAACAACAGAAATATTACAAAGACAGTAAAAAGGAAAAGACGGTAATAAATGAAAAAAGTTTTATGGTAGGGCATTATATATATCCATGCGTATGTAATGTTATGGATTATTGTGCAGATTAGACATTTCGTACTAACATTTAAATTTTCCAGAGGCGTACTGAGTTAAACATATTGTACATCCATCAGTTATAATGTTTGAGAAACGAATTTCGAACATATGGATGACTGGTTATGGAATATAGAACGGTTATAAGATATCAAACAGTTATGAGTAAGAGGAGTAACACATCGAGATATATCCATTTGGATATGGACACATGGACAATTGTTGAAAGATACGGGAGCGCTGTATTTGTATTAAGTTTCAAACATAACAAGTCCATAAGTGTGTCCATTAATTTTATGACTAATGGTTACTAGGAAATTACAAGGATATATATAAATATGGAACTATAGCAGTTAAATTCAATTGTTGAGAAATGTAGAAATATCATCAAGTTTCATGCATATGAAAAACAACAAAAGTGATAAACATGAACGACAACAAAAGTAAACTAAGAACATCCCAGACACAATTGACATCAAAGCAAACTAAGAACATCTGAAAAAAAAAATTTATTATAGAAGCAAACTAAGAACATCTGACAGAAGAGCTAATTCTTCACCATTGTAAGTATCATTGCTGCAATTACAATGAATTCTCCCCATGAGACAACAACAAATTGGCGCAAGATTATCTCCCTTTCTTATAGCAGTCAAATTCATTTGTTGACTAATGTAGAAATATCATCAAGTTTCATTCATATGAAAAACAACAAAAGTGATAAACATGACGACAACAAAAATAAAATAAGAACATCCCAGAGAACAATTGACATCAAAGCAAACTAAGAACATCTGAAAAAAAAATATATAATTATAGAAGCAAATAAAGAACATCTGACACAAAAGCTACTTCTTCACCATTGTAAGTATCATTGCTGCAATTACAATGAATCCTCCCTATGAGACAACAACAAATTGGCGCAACATTTTCTCCCGTTCTTTTGATGCCATTGATTCAAATTCAAGCTTTTTCTTCTCCTCGGCAAACATTTCTGCAGTAACATTTGCTGAAATTCTCGAATCGATCCCTTGCTGAGTTTCTCGAAGAGTGGCTTCAAGCTCTCTGATTCCGTCTTTTAGACGACGAATCTGCTCTCTAGCCTCCATTAATCGAACCTTCTGCCAACCATAAGGTTTCTCTTTGTCCGCCCACATTGAGAACCCATGAGTATTACATCTGAAAAACATTCTTCCAGGATTCTCATCGGTCCATGACTGGGTCATTTTCGTCGGTTTTCTGCCGTGGCAAAGAGGAGCTTCCTGGTGGTTGTAGTTCGAGTTGAATGAGTTTGCAGATGATGATGAGTTTTCCATTGTGAGTGTAAAGAAACTGAGAGAGAAGGTGATATGTGAGATAGAGGAGTTAAATAATTTAGGGTTAGATTTTAAGAATCAATTTGGGGAAAAAATACCATCGAAAACATCCAAAAGTGAATGTTTATATGGATACTAAATATATCGTAAGGACAAATGTATATCCATTTGTTGAATGACACATGGTTAAGAAAAATTGTAAGACTCGTCTGGGGAAAAAAACGACAGAATCCATAAGTATATGAGTAACTTAATCCCATTTTAAAATATCCATTTCAGAAAAAAAAATATGGTTAAATATGTAATGACAAATAGTTATCCATTTATGTAATGATATATGGTTAAAAATGTAATGACAAATATGTAATTAAATTGATTCATAAAATATTGAATTCGTAACCAATTCTGGGTTTAGTTTGCGCAATCGAGATTTCGCAGACATGAATTTGTAGACCAAAAACGATTGATAATTGTAAGGTGGCTAAATTTTGGTGGAGTATCTAAGTTAAAGACTATCTATTTCAGTGAGGGAACATGTTTAATTAAATGGATTAGTAATCAAAAATTGAAATCGTAACCAATTTTGGGTTTGGTTTCAGCATTCGAAGATTCACAGACATGAATTTCAGACCACATCGATTGATAATTAGAAGGGGAAAATATTTCTGAGTTTTTCGATAAAGTGATGTGATGGGGTCTTGATGTGGGTGTCGAGGGTTGTCAAGTTTTACCTTAATTGAAATCGATAGCCGCAAGTGCACAGCTGATCAATTGTAGTACTTAGGGATCGAATCCACAGGGAAGGAGGATCTTTTGCTGCAAAAAGCCTTTGAAATAAGTTAAAGTAAGGAAGTCTAGAACAAAAACGGTTTAGTGGGGGTTTGGTGGTGTCTTTAAAATGTAAAAACGAAATATTAAAAGAGAATACGAGAATTAAATGACTAATAACTAAACTTAATGAAAATGACTAAAAATGATAAAAACGGATATTCTAATGCTTAAATGAAAATAAACTAAAAAGGAAAGACAATATTGAACTAAAGCTTTAAAGAAAATCGGTGTATAACAATGGAGAAAAGGCGTTGGGCTTCAGGGAAGTTTTCTCAGGGGTACGAACGATTCAAAACATTGCTAGAGAGGAAATTTTGTAAGATCTTAGCTTAAACTTTTCGAACTGGAGTCACGGACGTATGAATACGCCACTGTCGTGATCATAGACAACTATCTCTCTCAACCCTGACCAGTAGGTTTCCACTCTGGCCCTGAAAGAGAAGAGATGCATTCTGTTTAAGACTCGTCCTAATTCACAAATCGCCCATAGGTAGGTTTCTACTCCTATGTTTGTTTTGCTCTCCCAAACTAGATCTGATACCTGATGAACACTTTCGTGTCACCAAACATCTGGATCAGATTGTAGTTCATGACGCTACCCTCATGCAGTAAAAACGAATTCAGAAGAAAAAGTTCTAAGATTCGGCTCAATAGCCAATGGAATCCTCACCGAACATATAAATCCCCATCGAAAATCCCTTAATCTCAACAATAAAACTACTCAGACATAATGAACGAAATCAAAGACATAATATTAAGAAGTAGAATAGAAACCGAAATTGAAAAAGAAAGAACAAGGGTTCAAGAGAACAAATCTCTCTCTCCCTAAAAGTTAAAGCAAAAACAATGAAAGTATGAAGTAAATAAATCGGTTCTCTAAGGTTACACACGATTTCTAGGGCTCCTAAGACATGTATTTATAGTGCTCAAGACCTCTCTGGACGTCACTTAGGGTTTCTCCAAATGTGGGCTTCAGAAATGGGCTTTTTGGGCTTGGAGGTTGAAGGCCACGGTCGGGAGTGCTCTGACCGCGGGGAATGTATGGTTTGCCGCGGTCGGGATGCTCCTGACCGCGGGAAAATGCTTGTTGGCCGCGGGTGGAAGTGCTGGCCAGCTGGTTTACGGGACATCTTGCTCTTCGCGTATCTTTTGACTGAACCGTTGGATTGCCAAGCTGTAAAGTGCACTGGAAATCTGATACTTCCATCTTTAAAGTCTCCAAATTTGAGCTGGATCAGACGGTGAGAAGGCCTTCAATCAGGGGTGAACTTCTGACGGTTTGACTCTGAGCTGAAATCTGGTTTTCTGTCCATTTTGTTAAGCTTTTCCCTAAATTACCTGAAAAGAGTCTTGGAACTACAAATACTAGAAAAACATAATAAAAGTACTTAAAAGCAATTAAAAACATAGAAAAAATATTTCAAAACGATCCATAAAGTGGTCAAAATATGGTGTTATCATGATGCCATTTCGTGTGCCTAAAACCGCGAAAGCTGAACTGCTTCATGCGTGTGACTGTATTCTCGGAATCTGAGATGGAGATATGGAAAATGCCTGAACAAGAATAGAGAGAATTCGTGGATGAGGTGATAAACTGGAACGAGCAATATCTTTAGAAATTTTCTCAAGAATTATTTTCACCGGAGACCCAGGACAAGAAGACACCGGAGAGGGAAGAATGATGACCGGAGAAGAAGATATAGGGTAGGGTGAAAATAATATTGACGGTGAGAATAATGGTAAAAAAACGAGATTGTAGTGAATAATGGGTAAGTATAGATGAAGGCTATACTTGGGAAAAAGGGTGTAACAAATTGAGATAAATCCACCAAAATACTGAAGTGCCTTTGGTGGTCATAAAAAATATAAAATGTATCTGTGGTGGTAATTATCTCGAATTTTCTCTTCTTTATTGTGTGACTTAAAATAAACTATCATTTTTAATATTTATATTAGTCACGATCCAACACGATTAAACTTAACATACATATCTCTATAACTCTATTATATTATTTAAGTAAATACATTTAAAAAATAATATTTATGTTGTAAATTATTACATCAAATACCATTATAAAAAACAAAAAATAATTAAAATAGAAAAAAAAATAATTATCTTTAACTCTATTAAAAAATCTAAAATTTTTTATTTATTTAATAGAGTATATTTATTATTTAATTTTTGTATTTAAAAATATGATAATGTTTATAATGTTTGTTTCAAATCATATTATATAGTATATTTAATTAAAAACATGAAAATATATTTTTTTAATTAAATAATATGGAAAATTAAAATTAAAAATTATGATATTAAAAAATGGTAAAAATAATTTTTACTATAATTTGCTATATTTACTTGATTATATA